TGTTCCAGGAGATATCTTAAGTTCGGCCATGCAAAACACCCAGAACCTCCTCCAGATGCCGTTCGGCTGCGGCGAGCAGAACATGGCTCTCTTCGCGCCCAACATCTATGTGCTCGATTACCTCAACGAGACGCAGCAGCTCACCAAGGAGCTGGAGACCAAAGCCCTCGGCTATCTGAGCGCAGGTGAGCCGCTGGCCTGACGGAGGCCCACCTTAGCCGGATCACTGCGCTTCCCGGCCAGCTGCGGTGGTCTGAGAATACGCTGAGGGACGGGCGTGGCAGCGCACGCCTGTAATCCCAACCACTCAGGAGGCTGAGCTCTGAGGATGGTGGTACAAAGCCAGCCTGGGGAAGGAAGGTCCATGAGATGCTTATCTCGAAGGAAGTAGCAAAATAAAGCCAGGAGTGGAGGCGTGGTTCAAATAGTAGAGCACCAGCCTGGAGTGAAAAAAGCTCAGGGACAGCACCTAGGCCTAAGGTCCTACGCGCACACACATGCACACACACATACACACACACACACACACATGCCAGAGGCCAAGGTGTGTTTTTCTGGTTCATTGTGGGGCTTGAACTCAGGGCCTGGGCACTGTCCCTGCGCTCTTTTTGCTCAAGGCTGGCGCTCTACCCCTTGAGCCACAGCGCCACTTCCGGCTTTTTGCTGGTTCCTTGGAAGCTCGAGTCTCTGGGAATTTCTTACCCAGGCTGGCTTTGAACCGCGATCCTCACCTCTCAGCCTCCTGAGCGGCTGGGATGACAGGCGTGCACACCAGCGCCCGTCTTAGGCCAAGACCGCGTGACCAGCGGGTGCCGCGCACTTCCCTCCGCAGGCTACCAGCGCCAGCTGAACTACAGGCACCAAGACGGCTCGTTCAGCACCTTCGGGGAGAGGCACGGCCGGCCCCAGGGCAACACCTGGTACGTACGGGAAGGGGGGGCCCCACGCCCCGGACTCCCCACGAGGCCCAGTGGGATAAGCACCAACCCACCCAGACCAGGAAGAGGGCAGAAGAGCCAAAGCTCCAACGGTGGACTTGCTCTTCACATGTATCCAGGGCCTAGTAGCGCACGCCTGTCATCCCAGCCACTCAGGAGGCTGAGAGCTGAGGATCGCAGTTCAAAGCCTAGGCAGGAAAGCCCATGAGACTCTGATCTCCCAGGAACCACCAGAAAACCAGAGGTGGCGCTGTGGCTCAAGGGGTAGAGCGCCAGCCTTGAGCTGAAGAGCTGAGGCACAGGCCCTGAGTTCAAGCCCCACGACTGACAAAGAATAGGAGCTGTGTGTGCGTGTGAGGTGACCCCCCCCCCGCCCCGCGCACAGGCTCACAGCCTTCGTGCTGAAGACGTTCGCGCGAGCGCGGCGCTACATCTTCATAGACGAGCTGCACATCACGCGGGCGCTGCAGTGGCTGTCCCGGGGGCAGAAAGACAACGGCTGCTTCACCAGGTCCGGCTCGCTGCTCAACAACGCCATGAAGGTACAGCCCCGCCCCGCGCCGCCAGGGAAGCCCCGCCCCAGCCGGGCGCCGCCGCACACCCCTATAGTCTCAGCGACTCAGGAGGCTGAGAGCTGAGGCTCGAGGTTCAAAGCCAGCCTGGGCAGGAAAGTCGGTGCGACTCTGATCTCCCATGAACCAGCACAAAGCTGGAATGGTGCTGTGGTTCAAGCGGCAGAGCCCCAGCCTTGAGCACAGAAAGATCAGGGACAGCGCCCAGGCCGTGAGTTCAAACCCCGGACTGGCACCAAAATAGATAGACAGACAGACAGACAGACAGACAGATAGATAAATAGATAGATAGACAGACAGATAGATAAATAGATAAACAGACAGACCATAGTATATATTATATTATTGTATTATAATAGTACATATTACTATATTAATAATTATATAAATATATGTAATTATATAGATTAAATATATAAATTATAGAATTTATGTAATTATATGATTATATAAATAATACGTAATAACTTATAATTATGTAATCATTTATGATTGCGTATTATGTGTAATAGTATATGTTACATGTAATATTACATATAATATGCATAACATATATTACATAGAATATGCATACTATGTTATACATAATAGCGTATATAATGTAGTATATAGTATACTATATTATACATAAGACAGCATGTATTTATATATTACACTATATACTTATAGTATATATACTATGTGACATAATATATATAATATAAATATAATATATTCATATATTTATATAAAGTAGGTATATTTATAGAATATATATTACACTATACATTTTATATATTATACTAGGTTTATACTAGTATACTAGATTTGCTATAGTATATAATGTGCATTGTACACTATATATCATTTGATAGAGGATGTGTACATACTGCATGCTATGCATATGTACAGCATACACACTGCACAGACTACGTGCGGTCGTGACAGTGGATATAACGCGCTGCGTTCTCTGTGATGTGCTGTGTTGCACTAGCGTAGTGATTGCAGTGTGTATTACGTGCTCATTAAACGTCATCATCATTCCCAGTGTTCTCTGCTCGTGCGCATTGCGCCGCTCTCTCATTCTGCATCGTCCGCTCTGCTTTATGCGTTACCCACGCAGTCACGTGGTCCACACCGCGCGCTCCTCTCCAGCAGCGCCTTCCGCGGGGGGCGTGAGACCCGGGGCCGGGCATTGCGGGCCGGGCTGTGGTGGTGCAAACCTGTGGCGTGTGCCTTGCAGGGCGGCGTGGACGACGAGGTGACACTGTCGGCCTACATCGCCATCGCGCTGCTGGAGATGCCGCTGCCGGTCACCGTGCGTGCGCCCCGGCTGAGTACCCCCCCCCCCGAGCCAGCACCAGGCCCTGAGTTCGAATCTCAGTTCTGACCAAAAGGAAACACAGCACTGTGGATGCGGCCGGGCCACGTAGTGGCCGGCTGTAACACCGGCCTGCATGCGAGATCTCATAGAGTATCTGTTGGGGCCAGTGGCTCCCGCCCGTCATCCCAGCCACTCGGGAGGCTGAGAGCTGAGGATCGCGGTTCAAAGCCAGCCTGGGTGGGAAAGCCCGTGAGACACTGATCTCCAGTGAACCACCAAGAAGCAGGAGTGGGGGCGTGGTTCAAGTGGTAGAGCGCCAGCCTTGAGTGAAAGAGCTAAAGGACAGCGACCAGGCCCTGAGTTCAAGTCCCAGCACAGACACACACACACACACACACGAGACAGATTTTCTGATGCTATTCCTTGGGTCCGTAAGACAGGAACAGATGCACAGGTGTGTGTTTCTTGGGGGGGGGGGGTTGGCACCCCCGTTTCCCGAGCACACCCCCTTTCCGCCTCTGCCCGCAGCACCCCGTGGTCCGCAATGCCCTCTTCTGTCTGGAAATGGCGTGGGGCACCGCGAAGGAGGGAGCCCACGGGAGCCACGTGTACACCAAGGCCCTCCTGGCCTACGCCTTCGCCCTGGCAGGAAACGAGGAGAAGAAGAAAGAGCTGCTGGCATCGCTCGAGGCGGAAGCTGTGAAGGAAGGTATGCGCAGGGCCGGGCACCGCGGCGCACGCCTGCCGTCCCAGCCACAGCGGGAGGCTGAGGCCTGAGGATCGCGATTCAAAGCCAGCCCAGGCAGGAACGTCCCTGAGACTCTGATCTCCCATGAACCACCAGACAGCTGGAAGTGGCGCTGTGGCTCAAGTGGTGGAGTGCCAGCCTTGAACAAAAACAGCTCAGGGACAGCGCCCAGGCCCCGAGTTCAAATCCCACAACTGACAACACATTAAAAATGAGGAAGGTAGGGACACTCCTGAGAGAGTCCTCCGCAGTAATGCCGCCCTGCCCCGGGGCCCGGCTCCCGCCTCTGCTAACCTCCGCTCGGCAGCTTTCAGGGCTGTATAATATATCAGATTATTCCCTCCAAACTGACGGAGCAATTTCCACCCGTGAATCTTGGGTCGTGTTTCTTGCTTTGCTTTGGGTTTAGTACGTTCTCATCCCAGAGCATAAGCCCTAAGCCTCATGCCCTCTCTCGGCTTTCTTGCTTACCCCTGGGCGCTCTCCCACCTGAGCCACGCCTCCAGGCCAGCATTTTGCTGGCTCCACCGACTCTTCTGCCTGGGCTGGCTTTGAACCTCAACCCTACAGATTCCCAGTTAGGATTACAAGTGGGACTCACTCACGCTCAGCTTCTTTAAAACAGACTTTGTCGGTTGTGGGGCTTGAACTCTGGCCCTGGGCGCTGGCCCTGAGCTCTTTATCGCAAGGCTGGCGCTCTACCCCTTGAGCCACAGCGCCACTTCCGGTTTTCTGGTGGTTCATGGGAGGTCAGCGCCTCACGGCCTTTCCTGCCCAGGCTGGCCTTGAACCACAATCCTCAGATCTCGGCCTCCTGAGTGGCTGGGATGACAGGCGTGCGCTGCAGCGCCCGGCTCCCACAGTTCAGATCAGGCCCTGACGAGCGTTGTTCCTGCCGCCCAGGGGACTTGATGCACTGGACGCGGCCACAGAAGCCCAGCGCGCCCGTGGGGCGGTGGTACCAGGTGCAGGCCCCCTCGGTCGAGGTGGAGATGACGTCCTATGTCCTGCTCGCCCTCCTCACGGCCCGGCCGGCCCCGGGCCCCGACGCCCTGACCACCGCCACCAAGGTGGTCCGGTGGCTCACGAAGCAGCAGAATGCCCAGGGCGGGTTCTCCTCCACGCAGGTGACTCCCCCCTCCCCTGGGTACTGGAACTCGGTGCCTGAGGCCGGGGTGATAGCAGGGAGAAGCCGGGAGTGGTGGGAGGAGAGGGGAAGGGGAGGAGAAAAGACCCTATAAAACCCAGAAGCCAAGCCGGGCGCTGATGCTCCCGCCTGGAATCCCAGCCACTCAGGAGGCTGAGATGGGAGGATCGCGGGTCAAGGCCAAGGAGCATCTGTGAGACTCTGATCTCCAATAAACCACCAGAAAACCAGACGTGGCGCTGTGGCTCACGTGGTAGAGCGCCAGCCTGGAGTGAAAGAGCTCAGGGACAGCGCCCAGGCCCTGAGTTCGAGTCCTAGTACCGGCACTTAGGAATAATTAAGAACAATGATGAGGATGAAAGTAACGGCTGATAAATGCTAACGGGGGTCGTAGTGACTCATCATGAGTGACGTAACGGGGAATCGATCATACTGGGACACCCCGGCCCCACCTGAGCGCCACCCCATCTCCCCCTCAGGACACAGTAGTGGCTCTCCAGGCCCTGTCCCGCTACGGGGCGGCCACCTTCTCCAGGACGGGTAAGGCCGTGCAGGTGAGCATGGAAGGCCTGGACTTCTCCGCACAGTTCCAGGTGAACGACCAGAACCGGCTGGTACTACAGCAGGCTGCTCTGCCACGGGTCCCGGGGCAGTACAAAATGTCCGTGTCGGGACAAGGCTGCGTCTTCATCCAGGTGAGGCCTGGGGGGGGGCTGCGCCTTTCCACTCAACGCTGGCGCTCTACCACCTGAACCACAGCCCCCTTCCAGCCTTTTGCTGGTTCATGAGAGATGAGAGTCTCACAGACGTTCCTGCCTGGGCTGGGCTTTGCGGCTCCCGAGTGGCCGGGATGCCAGGCGTGCGCTACGGGTGTGGGCAGGCCTGAGGAGTTCGGCCCGAGCCCGACGGACTTCTGCCTTTGTGTCTCGTAGACATCCTTGAGATACAACATCCTCCCGGGGAGGGAAGATCTCCCGTTCACTTTGGAGGTGCACACGGAGCCCCCAACATGCGACGGCCCGAAGGCTCACACCAGCTTCCGCCTGGTGCTCAACGTCAGGTGAGGATCCGGGAAGGAAGGAAGCAAGGCGGGCACTGCGTACTCGCGGTGTGTGTGTGTGTGTGTGTGTGTGTGTGTGTGTGTGCACGCACCAGTCCTGGGACTTGAACTCAGGGCCTGGGCGCTGTCCCTCGGCTCTTCAGCTCAAGGCGGGCGCTCTACCACTTGAGCCACAGCGCCACTTCCGGTTTTCGCGTGGTTCCTTGGAGATCAGAGTCTCACGGACTTTCCTGCCCAGGCTGGCCTTGGCCTGCGATCCTCCAATCTCAGCCTCCCAAGTAGCCGGGATGACAGGCGGGAGCTACTCGCTTGGATCAGAGAGAGACTGTCTGCAGACCTGCACAGAACAAAGCAGTGAAGGTCTCCAGTGACAGCTCCTGCTGCCACGGAACAAATCTCAAACCCCACGCAACGTCTTCCACTTGGGATTAGAACTCACGCACGCATGCCAGGCACTGGAGCGCACGCCTGCCATCCAGCCCCTCAGGAGGCTGAGCTCTGAGGATCACAATTCGAAGCCAGCCTGGGCAGGAAAGTCCGTGAGACTCTCATCTCTAATGGAGCAGCAAAAAGCAGGAAGTGGCGCTGTGGTTCAAGTGGTAGAGTGCCAGCCTTGAGCACAAAAGCTCAAGGATAGCGTCCAGGCCCCCAGTTCAAGTCCCAGGACTGTTACACACACACACACACACACACACACACATACACACACAGAGAAATCACTTAACTCCTCATTTCCCACTTTAGTTACGTCGGGACCCGGCCTGCCTCCAACATGGCCATCATTGACGTGAAGATGCTGTCCGGCTTCAGCCCCATGAAGGCCACAGTGAAAATGGTGGGTCCTTCCGGTCCTGGCCGTGGGCCGTTTGTTCTGTCCCCAGACCCAGACCAGACTCAGATTCAACTACAACTATATCCAGCCCAGCACCAGTAGCGCACGCCTGTCATCCCAGCTGCTCAGGAGGCTGAGATCTGAGGATCGTGGTTCGAGGCCAGCCCCAGGCAGGAAAGTCTGTGAGACTCTGATCTCCCATTGACCCCCAAAAAGCTGGAAGTGGAGCTGTGGCTCAAGTGGTAGAGCGCCAGCCTTGAGCAAAATAATCTCTGGGCTAGTTCAAGGCCCTGAGTTTAAGACTCAGGGTGTGTGTGCACGCACACATACACACACACACACACACACACAACTATTACATCAACTTCCGAGAAAGACTTCCAGTTTCTCCAAACTCATGAATACAGGGCGTGTTTGTTCAAGCGCCCACAGAGAAGCCGAGACAACAGGGGGGCGATTGTGAGCAGTGCCCTGCTTTTGAATTGAGGTTAGATGCTTCAGAAGAAAAGCAGTGAAATACTGAACTAAACCTCCATATATGTGTGTGTGAGTCCCCCAGCCTGGCACATTTTCTTCCCTGTTCTTCAGAAAAATCAATTTACAGAACAAGTCCTGGGCCCCACGGACATGGCCCGAATTTCATCCAGATTTCTTTCCATATTTTGCTCTTTTTTGTGGGGCTTGAACTCAGGGCTTGGGTGCTGTCCCTGAGCTCCTTTTGCTCAAGCCTACCCCTGAAGCCACAGCTCCACTTCCTGGGTTTTGCTGGCTCATGGGAGATGAGAGTTTTAGGAACGGGCCTCCAACCACGATCCTCGGCTCTCAGCCTCCTGAGTAGCTAGGCTGACAGGCGGGAGCCACCGGGGCCGGCCCTGTTTTCTTCGCATCCACCATGGATGAGCATGCATCGCTGTATGTATATAAACTGCAGACGTGCATTTTTTATTCTCTGCTCATAAGCAATGAATGCGAGGGCTGGCAGGGTTCGCAGGCCCCCCAGACTCAGTGTCTTGCTTCTCTGCAGCTTGAGCGATCCAGCGTCGTGAGCCGGACGGAGGTCAGCAGCAACCACGTCCTCATTTACCTGGACAAGGTGAGCGCGCCGGGCGCACGGGGGAGACGCGCACGCGTGCGGGGGATTCGGGGGCCTGGAGTCCAGGCCACGCCTGGGAGAGCAGTCAGGAGCTGGGGGGACCCCCCCCCCAGCTCACACGCTGACACAGCGCCAGGCGGGGCGGGGAGCTCCGGGAGAGCGCGAACTCCAGCGAGCCAGCAAAACGCGGACGTGGAGGTGTGGTTCAAGGGGTAGAGCGCCAGCCTGAGTGAAAAAGCTAAGGCGACTGGAATGAATGATATGCAAATGAGCAGCTTGGAATATTCAAATGAGCCTTGTTCGGATGAGCGCTGCTCAGGTGGAGACGCAGCTCGGCTTCGCCTGCTGTGCTAGCTGCTCAGGAGGCTGAGAGCGGAGGATCGCGGGCCGAGGCCGGCCTGGGCAGGAAGGCCCGCGAGACTCTGATCTCCAAGGAACCCAGCGAAATAGCTGGAGGCGGCTGGAGGCGTGGCTCAAGTGGTAGCGCGCCAGCCTTAGTGGGGGAAAGGCCAATTGTGGGTGTGAGGTCCTGAGTTCAAGTCCCAGGGCTGGCAAGGAGAGAAGGCACTGGCGGGTGGCTTCTGCCGTAGGTGACGAGAGAGGCCGTGAAGCTGTCCTTCGAGGTCGCGCAGGACGTGCCCGTGAGCAACCTGAAGGCCGCCATGGTGAAGGTCTATGACTACTACGAGACGGGTGAGTGTGCGCAGCCCCATGGGGGGAGGCTCTGGCGCCATTCGGTCCGTGGAATCACGGCTTTCCAGCCCCGCGCCCCTGGCTCCCACCTGGCGTCCCAGCCACCCAGGAGGCTGAGGTCTGAGGATCGCAGTTCAAGGCCAGCCCGGGCAGGAAAGTCTGGGAGACTCTGATCTCCAATAAACCACCAGAAAACCAGAAGTGGCGCTGTGGCTCAAGGGGTAGAGCACCAGCCTTGAGCTGAAGAGCTGAGGGACAGCGCCCAGGCCCAGAGTTCAAGCCCCACGACCCCACCGAACATAAGCAGCACTTCCTCAATAACACCACATAATAACGGCTTCCCTTCATTTTGCAGACGAGTTTGCCGTTGCCGAGTACAACGCCCCCTGCAACAACGGTGAGTCCTTCACGCCCCAGACCTCGGCCGGGTCTCCCACACATCCTCCTTCATGGACCAGGCAGGCATGCGGTGCGCACGCCTGTAATCCCGGCTACTCAGGAGGCTGAGAGCTGAGGATGGAGCTTCCAAGCCAGGAAAGTCTGTGTGTGAGACTTTCTCTCCAAGGAACCACCAAAAAGCCAGCAGTGGAGGCGTGGCTCACGGAGTCAGGCGCCAGCCAGGAGTAAAAAAGTTCAGGGACAGCAACCAGGTCCTGAGTTCAAGTCCCACGACTAGCATTAAAAAAAAACAAAAAAGCCGGGCACTGGTGCTCACACCTGTCAACCCAGCTACAAAGGAGGCTGAGATCTGAGGATCGCGGTTCAAGGCCAGCCTGGGCAGGAAAGTCCATGAGACTCTGATCTCCCATGAACCACCAGAAAACTGGAAGTGGCGCTGTGGCTCAAGGGGTAGAGCGCCAGCCTTGAGCTGAAGAACTGAGGGACAGCGCCCAGGCCCTGAGTTCAAGCCCCAGGACCGACCAAAAAAGAGAGAGAGAGAGAGAGAGAGAAAAGATCCACTTTTTAGAGTAAATCCTAGTGCATTTCCATAGATCCTGCTCCCCTGATTTAAAGAAAAGAATATTATATACTCATGAACCCTAAGTCTGTATTAACTGGCTTTTCTTGCCATTCCCACAGTCCACGAAAATTCTTGAGGACGGACGGAATGAGTGAGCAGCGAGTCCCTGCGCTCAGAACTTCACAGGAACTCTTCAAATATATGTACATGTTTTATATCTCTAAAGATCTGACAGCCAGGCGCAGCAGCTCACACCTGTAATCCCAGCTACTCAGGAGGCAGAGGTCTGAGAAGCGCGATTCAAAGCCAGCCCGGAAGGAAAGTCCACGAGACTCTTTATCTCCAGTGAACCAGCAAAAAAAAGCTGGAGGTGGCGCTGTGGTTCAAGTGGTAGAGCGCCAGCCTTAACCAAAAAAAAAAAAAAAAAAAATCAAGGACAGCGCTCAGGCCCTGAGTTCAAGCCCCAAGGTAGACACCAATAATAATAATAATGATGATGATTCGATAAATAAACCATTTCTTCTTAGCATTCTCTCTCTCCATTCCCTCATTGGTTTGTTTGTTTTTTACATTGTTCAAGTCATTCTCAATAGACTCTTAGGATAAAAACATAATCCCAGGACCGGGCTCCGGCGGCTCCCGCCTGTCATCCCAGCTCCTCAGGAGGCTGAGATCTGAGGATCACAGTTGGAGGCCAGCACACACAGGAAAGTCTGAGACTTATTTCCAAGGAACCACCAGGAAACCGGAAGTGGCGCTGGGGCTCAAGTGGTAGAGCGCCCGCCTTGAGCCAAAGAAGCTCAGGGACAGCGCCCAGGCCCTGAGTTCAAGGCCCAGGACTGGTACAACATGAAATCAATTACCTACTAATGCAGTCCAGGTCTGAAAACACAAGACCACTAGAACCCACAATGAGCAGAAGGAAAGCCAGCGTTGCACTGGATTTCGCGTCTCTTTCTGGCTGTGCACTGTGCTCTCCCGTGCAGGTGTGACCGTATATAATCCCGGCCGTCCACGGACATCGCTGTCCTTCACCTCCCTGTGAGAACCCGCACCGCCCTTCGCAGCCTCATCCACAGACAGAGCTACCGCCTTCCCTTCCTCCTGAGCTCCGCCCGCGCCCCCAATGAAACGCCAACTTCCGTGGAAGTCAATTCCCAGGAAGATACATCGGATCCGGCCTCTCAGTCCTGTCCAAGGAGGAGATGCACTGCCGTTGTCATTCTCTTGCTGAGCACTGAGGCTCACGCCTGGAATCCCACCCCGTCAGGAGGATCGTGGCTCGAAACCAGCCAGGGCAGAAAAGCTGGCGATCCTCAGATCTCAGCCCCTTGGGTAGCCGGGATTACAGGCGTGCGCCACGGATACAGGACCTTCGTGTTTGTTGGTTTCATTTTTTTGAGGCGCTGGTGCATAGAGACTTCGGGAACCCTGCCCCATGGCTGGTGGACACGCTCCTCCGTGACACCCCCTCATCCCACAGAATGTGGAGGAGCTCAGCGCTCAGGCCGCGGCCCTGGGCACCCACCCACCCACCCGGGGAGCCGAGTGCTCTCCACAGACCCTCCACAAAGCCCCTTTGCTAGGGTACACACAGCAACCAGCTGGGTGCTGGTGCTCACGCCTGTCATCCCAGCTGCTCAGATGGCTGAGACCTGAGGATCGCGGTTCAAAGCCAGCCCGGGCAGGAAAGCCAGTGAGACTCTGATCTCCAATGAACTACCTGAAAACCGGAAGTGGCGCTGTGGCTCAAGTGGTAGAGTGCCAGCCTTGAGCTGAAGAGCTGAGGGGCAGCAGCCAGGCCGCGAGTTCAAGCCCCACGACCAACAAAACAAAAACAAGAGACAGTACCCAGGCTCTGAGTTCAAGTCCTACTCAGTATCAGCACAAAAAAAAAGTGAATGAGTAGAATTTACCTGAGGCCTAAAATCATATTCTCTACCATATACCAAATTTTCTTCCTTCCTTCCTTTCTGTCTGTCTGTCCTGGGGCTTGAACTCAGGGCCTGGGCGTTGTCTCTGAGCTTTCTCAAGGCTGGCGCTCTACCACTTGAACCACAGCACCACTTCTGGCTTCTTGGTAATTCATTTGGAAATGAGGCTCGTTCCTGGCTTTGAACCTCGAGCTTCAGATCTCAGCCTCCTGAGTAGCTGGGATTACAGGCGTGAGCACCAGCGCCCGGCCCCTCCTTTCTGATCTTAATCATATGCATACACACACACACACACACACATACACACACACACATTCATCCCGGCCTCCAGTCTCCCCGCAGTCTTCCACGCTGGATCGGGGCAGGGTAGCGGTCACCAACTCTGACACAGTGAATGGCTCCGTGTGTCCTTCCGGGCTGAGAGAGGACAGGAGGCGGACAAGAGACAGGAAAGGCCGCCCGAGCAGGACAATTAATCCTACAGCATCTGTGGAGGTTGATATTCCAGCCATGCGCCTGAGGCTCCCGCCTGTCATCCGCGCTACTCGGGAGGCTGAGAGCTGAGGATCGCGGTTCAAGGCCAGCCCGGGCAGGAAAGTCTGGGAGACTCTGATCTCCAATTAGCAAAAAGCTGGAAGTGGAGCTGCAGCTCCAGGGGTAGAGAATCAACCTTGAACCACCACCACCAAGAGCTGAGGGACAGCGCTCAGGCCCTGAGTTCAAGCCCGGGACCCGCAGCGAACACAAAGGAGGAGAGACGTCACTGGGGAAACGCCTGTTCCACCGTGAGCGAAGAAACGGCGCTTTCTCCTTGTGTAGCGGTGGGGAGAGCATGGCTGTCATACTCGCACCCACGACCAAGCAACGAGCGCCCTTCCTTAGTTCCCCCTCCTCCCCCCCTCAACCCTCCCTCTTCCTTCCTTCTCCCTCCTCCTCCTCCTCCTCCTCTTCACCTTCTTCTTCTCCCCCCTCTTCCTCTCCCTCTCTCTTCTTCCTCCTCCTCCCTTTCCCATTGGTAAGGACGCGCGGCCTCCGCTGTCCCGGCCTCCGCTGTCCCGGCCTCCGCTGTCCCAGCAGGCCACCAGCAGGTCACGGGTGAAGGTTTTCTGGTGGCGGGGCGGGAGGCGCGGCTCAGCGCAAATGGGTGGGTTCAGGTGCTGAGTTCAAATTTCGGTCTTGAACCAAAACACAATAGTAAATAAATAAAATAAACTACCTCAGCCTGTGACGCGCTGGACACCCGCCCAGCGGCGGCCCCCCGCCCTGTGCCCCAGCTCCCACCCGCGCCCCGACTCCCACCCGCGCCCCGACTCCCCCCCGCGCCCCCACATGCAAGCCCTGAGGGTGATGGGTGAGTTTTAGGGTCACACAGCGCTCCTGCTCGGATTGGTTCACGTAACACAATCTAGATGACTCCATGTGGAAAAGCACAAGATGAAAACATGGATGACTGGATCGATGGCTGGATGGACAGATAGCAGAGACAGACAGACAGACATAGAACTCTTAGGGACCTAAACAGGCCATGCTGCGCCAACCTGGAGCTGAGAAAGGGGGTGGTGTGTGTCTGTGTGTCTGTGTCTGTGTATGTCTGTGTGTCCGTGTCCGTGTGTCCGTCTGTGTCTGTGTCTGTCTGTTTCTGTATGTCTGTGTCTATCTGTCTGTGTGTCTGTCTGTCTGTCTGTGTCTTTCTGCCAACCTGGAGCTGAGAAAGGGGGTGGTGTGTGTCTGTGTGTCCGTGTCTGTGTGTCCGTGTCTGTGTGTCCGTGTCTGTGTGTCCGTGTCTGTGTGTCCGTGTCTGTGTGTGTCTGTCTCTGCGTGTCCGTGTTTGTGTGTCTGTGTCTGTGTGTCTGTGTGTCCGTGTCTGTGTCTGTCTGTCTCTGCGTGTCCGTGTCTGTGTGTCTGTGTGTCTGTGTCTGTCTGTCTGCGTGTCCGTCCTGGGACCTGCCCTCAGGGCCTTGATCTCTTGCTTCGCTTTCTGCTCTCCAGGCTGGCGCTTCTACCATGGGAGCCGCGGCTCTACTCGGGCTTTTTGCTGGTTCACTGGAGG